TCCATGACTTTCCTTGACAAACTTTGTATAAATTTCCTAACCCTTGCATCCCTGCCTTAAAGTACAGCACATTGACAAAATAAAACAACCTATGACTTACTATGCAAATACAGTCAACCCACCTATAACACGGGTTCCTATAGTTCGGATTCCTATATCACAGGGAAAAAATCATGACAGTATTCATACAAACATGCTAAAAAAACTCCTATAATTCGGTAAAACATCATTGCCAACTTGTGTTGCGACAGGATTGCACAAACCATTGAGTTTAAATGAGCAGCAGACCTACCAAAAACCCATTTATTATTTAACGTCCATAAAAATTATATTTATATTAATGATGTCTCCAAAGTTCAGTGAATTTTTCGCAAAAGAAAAAAAAAATTATCAAGAAGCACGTGAGCGCCATTCGATGACAATCTCCACAACGAAAACAAGCTTAAGCAACGGCGTAGTCAAACGGTGCACACTCGGTAAGTAATCCTACAATTTTGTGTTTATAGCATAGTTTATATGGATTACTCCCAAAAAATTATACATATTTTGGAAATGTTGAGTCAAATTAGTCTAGAATCAATTAATTTTGTGGAAGAAACCTTTCAAACAGCTGTAGTCTGTAAACTGCATACGTGCTGGGCTGTGATTGGCTGGACTCCTAAAAACAGGAACATATCTACCATGTTATGGGGGGGGGGTCGACCGTATGCTATTGCTTCTTTGACTTTTTAATCAGTTATTTTTTCTTATTAACACAATTTTTATAATTGCTGAATAATTAAAATTAAAAATAAAATGTTTTATTAAATTAAAACAGTTTATTCTGTTATTAATCCACTACCATAAATCTATGTGGCTTTGAAAAAAAAAAAAATAAATAANAAAAAAAAAAAAAAAAAAAAAAAAAAAAAAAAAAAAAAAAAAAAAAAAAAAAAAAAAAAAAAAAAAAAAAAAAAAAAAAAAAAAAAAAAAAAAAAAAAAAAAAAAAAAAAAAAAAAAAAAAAAAAAAAAAAAAAAAAAAAAAAAAAAAAAAAAAAAAAAAAAAAAAAAAAAAAAAAAAAAAAAAAAAAAAAAAAAAAAAAAAAAAAAAAAAAAAAAAAAAAAAAAAAAAAAAAAAAAAAAAAAAAAAAAAAAAAAAAAAAAAAAAAAAAAAAAAAAAAAAAAAAAAAAAAAAAAAAAAAAAAAAAAAAAAAAAAAAAAAAAAAAAAAAAAAAAAAAAAAAAAAAAAAAAAAAAAAAAAAAAAAAAAAAAAAAAAAAAAAAAAAAAAAAAAAAAAAAAAAAAAAAAAAAAAAAAAAAAAAAAAAAAAAAAAAAAAAAAAAAAAAAAAAAAAAAAAAAAAAAAAAAAAAAAAAAAAAAAAAAAAAAAAAAAAAAAAAAAAAAAAAAAAAAAAAAAAAAAAAAAAAAAAAAAAAAAAAAAAAAAAAAAAAAAAAAAAAAAAAAAAAAAAAAAAAAAAAAAAAAAAAAAAAAAAAAAAAAAAAAAAAAAAAAAAAAAAAAAAAAAAAAAAAAAAAAAAAAAAAAAAAAAAAAAAAAAAAAAAAAAAAAAAAAAAAAAAAAAAAAAAAAAAAAAAAAAAAAAAAAAAAAAAAAAAAAAAAAAAAAAAAAAAAAAAAAAAAAAAAAAAAAAAAAAAAAAAAAAAAAAAAAAAAAAAAAAAAAAAAAAAAAAAAAAAAAAAAAAAAAAAAAAAAAAAAAAAAAAAAAAAAAAAAAAAAAAAAAAAAAAAAAAAAAAAAAAAAAAAAAAAAAAAAAAAAAAAAAAAAAAAAAAAAAAAAAAAAAAAAAAAAAAAAAAAAAAAAAAAAAAAAAAAAAAAAAAAAAAAAAAAAAAAAAAAAAAAAAAAAAAAAAAAAAAAAAAAAAAAAAAAAAAAAAAAAAAAAAAAAAAAAAAAAAAAAAAAAAAAAAAAAAAAAAAAAAAAAAAAAAAAAAAAAAAAAAAAAAAAAAAAAAAAAAAAAAAAAAAAAAAAAAAAAAAAAAAAAAAAAAAAAAAAAAAAAAAAAAAAAAAAAAAAAAAAAAAAAAAAAAAAAAAAAAAAAAAAAAAAAAAAAAAAAAAAAAAAAAAAAAAAAAAAAAAAAAAAAAAAAAAAAAAAAAAAAAAAAAAAAAAAAAAAAAAAAAAAAAAAAAAAAAAAAAAAAAAAAAAAAAAAAAAAAAAAAAAAAAAAAAAAAAAAAAAAAAAAAAAAAAAAAAAAAAAAAAAAAAAAAAAAAAAAAAAAAAAAAAAAAAAAAAAAAAAAAAAAAAAAAAAAAAAAAAAAAAAAAAAAAAAAAAAAAAAAAAAAAAAAAAAAAAAAAAAAAAAAAAAAAAAAAAAAAAAAAAAAAAAAAAAAAAAAAAAAAAAAAAAAAAAAAAAAAAAAAAAAAAAAAAAAAAAAAAAAAAAAAAAAAAAAAAAAAAAAAAAAAAAAAAAAAAAAAAAAAAAAAAAAAAAAAAAAAAAAAAAAAAAAAAAAAAAAAAAAAAAAAAAAAAAAAAAAAAAAAAAAAAAAAAAAAAAAAAAAAAAAAAAAAAAAAAAAAAAAAAAAAAAAAAAAAAAAAAAAAAAAAAAAAAAAAAAAAAAAAAAAAAAAAAAAAAAAAAAAAAAAAAAAAAAAAAAAAAAAAAAAAAAAAAAAAAAAAAAAAAAAAAAAAAAAAAAAAAAAAAAAAAAAAAAAAAAAAAAAAAAAAAAAAAAAAAAAAAAAAAAAAAAAAAAAAAAAAAAAAAAAAAAAAAAAAAAAAAAAAAAAAAAAAAAAAAAAAAAAAAAAAAAAAAAAAAAAAAAAAAAAAAAAAAAAAAAAAAAAAAAAAAAAAAAAAAAAAAAAAAAAAAAAAAAAAAAAAAAAAAAAAAAAAAAAAAAAAAAAAAAAAAAAAAAAAAAAAAAAAAAAAAAAAAAAAAAAAAAAAAAAAAAAAAAAAAAAAAAAAAAAAAAAAAAAAAAAAAAAAAAAAAAAAAAAAAAAAAAAAAAAAAAAAAAAAAAAAAAAAAAAAAAAAAAAAAAAAAAAAAAAAAAAAAAAAAAAAAAAAAAAAAAAAAAAAAAAAAAAAAAAAAAAAAAAAAAAAAAAAAAAAAAAAAAAAAAAAAAAAAAAAAAAAAAAAAAAAAAAAAAAAAAAAAAAAAAAAAAAAAAAAAAAAAAAAAAAAAAAAAAAAAAAAAAAAAAAAAAAAAAAAAAAAAAAAAAAAAAAAAAAAAAAAAAAAAAAAAAAAAAAAAAAAAAAAAAAAAAAAAAAAAAAAAAAAAAAAAAAAAAAAAAAAAAAAAAAAAAAAAAAAAAAAAAAAAAAAAAAAAAAAAAAAAAAAAAAAAAAAAAAAAAAAAAAAAAAAAAAAAAAAAAAAAAAAAAAAAAAAAAAAAAAAAAAAAAAAAAAAAAAAAAAAAAAAAAAAAAAAAAAAAAAAAAAAAAAAAAAAAAAAAAAAAAAAAAAAAAAAAAAAAAAAAAAAAAAAAAAAAAAAAAAAAAAAAAAAAAAAAAAAAAAAAAAAAAAAAAAAAAAAAAAAAAAAAAAAAAAAAAAAAAAAAAAAAAAAAAAAAAAAAAAAAAAAAAAAAAAAAAAAAAAAAAAAAAAAAAAAAAAAAAAAAAAAAAAAAAAAAAAAAAAAAAAAAAAAAAAAAAAAAAAAAAAAAAAAAAAAAAAAAAAAAAAAAAAAAAAAAAAAAAAAAAAAAAAAAAAAAAAAAAAAAAAAAAAAAAAAAAAAAAAAAAAAAAAAAAAAAAAAAAAAAAAAAAAAAAAAAAAAAAAAAAAAAAAAAAAAAAAAAAAAAAAAAAAAAAAAAAAAAAAAAAAAAAAAAAAAAAAAAAAAAAAAAAAAAAAAAAAAAAAAAAAAAAAAAAAAAAAAAAAAAAAAAAAAAAAAAAAAAAAAAAAAAAAAAAAAAAAAAAAAAAAAAAAAAAAAAAAAAAAAAAAAAAAAAAAAAAAAAAAAAAAAAAAAAAAAAAAAAAAAAAAAAAAAAAAAAAAAAAAAAAAAAAAAAAAAAAAAAAAAAAAAAAAAAAAAAAAAAAAAAAAAAAAAAAAAAAAAAAAAAAAAAAAAAAAAAAAAAAAAAAAAAAAAAAAAAAAAAAAAAAAAAAAAAAAAAAAAAAAAAAAAAAAAAAAAAAAAAAAAAAAAAAAAAAAAAAAAAAAAAAAAAAAAAAAAAAAAAAAAAAAAAAAAAAAAAAAAAAAAAAAAAAAAAAAAAAAAAAAAAAAAAAAAAAAAAAAAAAAAAAAAAAAAAAAAAAAAAAAAAAAAAAAAAAAAAAAAAAAAAAAAAAAAAAAAAAAAAAAAAAAAAAAAAAAAAAAAAAAAAAAAAAAAAAAAAAAAAAAAAAAAAAAAAAAAAAAAAAAAAAAAAAAAAAAAAAAAAAAAAAAAAAAAAAAAAAAAAAAAAAAAAAAAAAAAAAAAAAAAAAAAAAAAAAAAAAAAAAAAAAAAAAAAAAAAAAAAAAAAAAAAAAAAAAAAAAAAAAAAAAAAAAAAAAAAAAAAAAAAAAAAAAAAAAAAAAAAAAAAAAAAAAAAAAAAAAAAAAAAAAAAAAAAAAAAAAAAAAAAAAAAAAAAAAAAAAAAAAAAAAAAAAAAAAAAAAAAAAAAAAAAAAAAAAAAAAAAAAAAAAAAAAAAAAAAAAAAAAAAAAAAAAAAAAAAAAAAAAAAAAAAAAAAAAAAAAAAAAAAAAAAAAAAAAAAAAAAAAAAAAAAAAAAAAAAAAAAAAAAAAAAAAAAAAAAAAAAAAAAAAAAAAAAAAAAAAAAAAAAAAAAAAAAAAAAAAAAAAAAAAAAAAAAAAAAAAAAAAAAAAAAAAAAAAAAAAAAAAAAAAAAAAAAAAAAAAAAAAAAAAAAAAAAAAAAAAAAAAAAAAAAAAAAAAAAAAAAAAAAAAAAAAAAAAAAAAAAAAAAAAAAAAAAAAAAAAAAAAAAAAAAAAAAAAAAAAAAAAAAAAAAAAAAAAAAAAAAAAAAAAAAAAAAAAAAAAAAAAAAAAAAAAAAAAAAAAAAAAAAAAAAAAAAAAAAAAAAAAAAAAAAAAAATCAACAAGGCAGACAAGAAGGCTGCCTTGTTGATTTTTGTCAAATTCTCTGACTTTCCATGACTTTCTGAACGCTAATGAAAATTCCCGACTTTCCAGATGTGTAGGAACCCTGTAGATAGCAATATAATTATTGCTTTATACTGAAGGATATGTTTAAAAACATTCTTGTATTATAGACGTTGCATTGTTTAAGAAATTCTTAAATTGAAGAATTGAATTACACCAATGATGATATACAGGGGGTGCAAAAGTAGGTATACAGTAGAGAATCTGAGAAAATGACCACCAAACATTTGTATATTATTATTTTTATTATCTTTTATTAATTCATATTCCTTATTTGTGATTTAATTTGTACATAAAAGTAAATGTTTTTTTTTCATATTTTCTCCCTGTATGTTTTTTTCTCTTAATAATATCTGTATACCTACTTTTGCACCCCCTGTATATTCAACCTCCTGAAAACTACCAGCTTAGTGACAAAGACAACATATCTGAAGAAGAAAAATTCCTGATAATCTGACTGGTAATCAGCTTTCTGGATTTGCAGAAACAACTTTGAGACTAGCTGGTAATAAGAAAAAGTAATTAGGATTGCCACATGATGATGATGGTGAAGACAATATTTCTAGTGCCAGAAAAGATAATGTAGAGCAGTGGTTTACAACCAGGGTGCTGTGGCACACTTAGTCACTTAGTGCTGCAATGATGCCACAAAATGGATGACACAACATGTGGGCAATCTCCCAAGAAAAGGAGTACCTCCTGGGAGAACTTTCTATGGGAAACTGGCCCCTATTTAGTTGTTAGACATGTGAAGAAAACTCCATATTACCAGCCTGTTGATGAAATGCAAATCTGTGACCAACTACCAGTGTTCATTGTTCATTCAGCACTATATTTCATGACACTGGAGCCCATCAGTGTCTTGAAATATAGTGCTGAATAGTGCCATAACATTTCTTATGTGTATTACTAAAAGAGCAGTAACTCTATATTGATAAAGATATAGGATATAACAAAAAAAAAATTATCAAGCTGAGGGTGTCACTATTAGAAAAGAACTGAAAAATACTGATGAAGAAGAAGTACTAACAAAGAGAATAAAAATTCACATCCCACGTTTGGAAATGGGAAAACAGATATAAATCAAACAGTTTGAGCAACCACAAAATAACTATTTCTTAGTTGTGGTAGGTGTTCAATTTGCATATTTTAATTTTAATACTGATGACACAATTGTAGATTATATTACATTAGAAACAAATTTATATGCAGTAGTGCCTTATACTTCAAATTTAATTCATTTCAGGAGGTCATTTGAATTCTGAATTGTTTGAAGTCCAAATCAATTTTCGTTATTAGAAATAATGGAAAGTGAATTAATATGTTCCCAGACCCTAAACAATACCCATTTTGATAAACTTAAAACAGCAAACATAATTTAAGGTAAAACTTACACCATTAAATGACCTAAGTAATAAATTAAAACATGAAAACAAAATATGTAAATACTGTATAATAAAATGAAAATTGCATTTACTGTACCTTAGTGAGGAGTGTGATGTCCCATGTGGCTTGTGGAGAGGAAGAAAAAGGTTACTGTTTGGAAGGAGAGTCACTTTCAATAAACACACCAAATAACTTTACTTCTGGTATTCTTTCTTTCTTCTGCCTCTTAACACTACTGATTGGGGGTTTTGGTTCACTTTTTCCTTTTTCTACAGAGAACCTTTCCAATGTAGTCTGGTGTTGGCGACTTTGCTGAATGTTCCTGAAGTAGGCCATCACATTGTCATTAAACAAGTTAATGCTCCTATTCACCACTATTTTGTTAGGGTGCCAATTTTCAACAATAGCCTGTGTTCTGTCCCAAACAGAGCACAGTTCTTTAATTTCAGCACTAGAAATTATCTTGGCTTCCTCCTCTGAAAAAATTTCCTCTGCAACTTCTTTTTGTTGCTGATTGTGAAGGTGTTGAAGTTCTTCTATGGTTAGTTCAATCTTGTGATCATCCACTAATTCCTCGACATCCTCATCATTCATCTCCAACCCCATGCACTTACCCAGAGAGACAATTTCATTCACCACAGATGCTGGTTCAAAGCCTTCAAAGTCTCTGGCTGAAATACAATCTGGATAGAGTTTCTTCCAAGCAGAGTTCATTGACCAGAGAGAAACTTCCCTCCATGCTTTATCGATGATCCTTAAGCAATGAAGGATGTCATAATGATCCTTCCAAAAGTCTCTGAGGGTCAGTTCTGTTTCATTGGTCATCTCAAAGCACCTCTGAAACATTGCCTTGGTGTACAGTTTTTTGAAATTTGAGATGACTTGCTGGTCTATGGGTTGGATGAGAGATGTGCTATTGGCAGGCAAGAAAATTACCTTGATGAAGCTGGATTCACCCACCAAATCTTCCTGTAAACCTGGAGGATGAGCAGGAGCATTGTCCATGACTAGAAGAGCTTTCAGTGGTAAGTTCTTTTCAGTAAGATAAGCCTTCACAGAAGGAGCAAACTCCTCATGAACCCATTCAGTAAAGAACTGCTTGGTAATCTGTGATTTTATGTTTGCCCTCCACATAACATTGAGCCTGCTCTTTATTACATTGTTCTTTTTAAACACATGTGGATTTTCAGTATGGTACACAAGCAAAGGCTTTATCTTACAATCTCCACTAGCATTACCACAAAGCAGCAGAGTAAGTCTATCTTTCATAGGCTTATGTCCCAATATAGCTTTCTCTTCTTTTGTAATAAAGGTTCTCTTAGGCATTTTCTTCCAGAAGAGGCCTGTCTCATCACAACTGAATACTTGCTGAGGCAGAAATCCCTCACTATCCACATAGTGCTTAAACCTTTTCACAAACTTTTCAACTTCCCCCACATTAGTACTAGCAGCCTCTCCATGCATCACACTATGGATTCCAGTTCTTTTCCTAAATTTTTCAAACCATCCCCTACTTCCCTTAAACTCCTCACTTTCAGCACTGGTTACAGGTGTGCATTTCTTAATGTCACTATGTAGCTGCTTGGCTTTTTCACAAATAATCCTCTCAGAGATGATATCACCAGTCAATTGTTTCTCATTTATCCACACTAGGAGGAGTTTTTCCATCTCCTCAATAATATGTGATCTCCTGGAGGTTAACGTTGTCACACCTTTAGCCACATTTGCTGCTTTTATTGCTTCCTTATTCTTAAGAATAGTGCACACTGTTGACCTTGGCATCTTATACATGGCTGCCAGATCTGTCACACGTGCACCACTTTCATGCTTCATGATAAGTTGCTTTTTCATTTCAATTGTTGTTACAACCTTCCTCCTAGGTCTCATTGTTTCCACATGCTTCTTGGATGCCATGGTTAATAGTTAAAAGATTATACATACATACACACACACACACACACACACATATATATATATATATATATATATTTAGTGTGTTTGTTATATATATGTATATATAAAAAAAAACAATCCAAACACACCAAAAATACATAAGCATAATGCAAGAGATATTTTCACAGTGAGAGATAACTTGGGTGTAGAACAGATGGCATTTATGTAGCAAGTTCGTTTTTTTCACTGCACAAATAGTTCATATGTAGAAGCATGATTCAAACATTGAAAGATTCAAAGTCAGAACTGTTTGAAGTACAAGGCACCACTGCACAATGCCAAAAGGAAAACCTACTTTTTGTACAAATTTTGAAGAAATAAAGCTTGTTATTAGCATTTTACTGGTCTCTATTTACATTCCTCTTCCAAATAAAAAAATAATTTTATATAAAAAACAAAAATACATTTAATCAAGCCATTGCAAGCACAATACCAGTAAATTGCTTTAAAGAACTTCTAAGATTTTTATATTTAGCAGACAACACAGCTTGACAAAAAGGATAAAACAGCTTAAATTACACCACTTGTATGCATGCTAAATGAGTACTTTTTAAAGTACTGGCCAATAGAGCAAGACCTAAGCACAGATGAAGCTGAACTACAAAAGTCAGCTCAAACAGTGCATCTGTAAGAAAACTTTGTTTTACAAATCTAATGGGTAAACAGAACTTTAAGCTATCAGAACCAGTTTAAACCTTATCACGACATAACAGACAACAATCCCTGGATAAACACTCCTATAGAGGAGAAGGTGGTATTATGGAACCCCAACTACATTGTAGTGAATTGTAAACAAAGTATCATAACTACACACACATTTTTTGTGCGAAAAGTACTGGTAACTATTAAACTAAATGTTCCTAATTGGATTTTTCGCTAGTGTAACTATAAGTATGGTTTTTGAAGACTTCTGTACAAAAAGTCAGAAAGTAGGCTTAGAGAAATCTGGGTGGTAATATGGAAACTTACTGTATGTTTTCAAAAAATGCTTTAATCACTCAGTAGTGAAGGACGAATATATCCGTCCAGGGCGATCATGTGGCAGTGGAAAAGGACGGATATATCTGTTAAACCAAAAATGATTTAATAAAAATAATAAAGAAATGTACAAAGAAGAAACTAATCTGCTATAAGTAATAGATATGTATATATCCATGGTGCGGTTTTCTTTATATTACTAAAGAAGCTAATCATTTACAAAAATCACAAATGTAATGCTCGTTTTCAACATCAGCACAATCTTTATGTGCCCACATAGTGCACATTAGGCATTGAACCCACATCTCCCCATGAGTATCATCTGCAAACAACCCATCACAAAACAGACAAGCAGTGTCATCTTTAAAACTGGGCGTCTCCTTGTCAGGCAAGTCGAAAGCAGAGTCAACAGATAAGGGGATATCAATCGAGTCATCATCACTTGAAACACTGCTGATGCATTGTCGTTTTGCCTTGGGTGTTTTGCACCTTGTTAGCCTTTTGACACTGGAAGTTGAAGGCTGATCTTTCTGTACAGTAGCTGATGTTGCTCCTCTTCCACGTCCCCTGCCACGACTCAAAGTTTTTTCCCTGTTTGGTGGTTTTGCCATAGATGCTTCCAAATTCTTGTAAGGAGAACCTGTAATCAAGTTAGAAGAGCTTGGTTTCCTGCCTCTGTTTGATCTTTTCTTTTTCAACAGAGGAATTGGAACAATACCCCTTGGAGAAACAGATGATGCCCCTCCTGAACTTCCAGGACATGATCTGGTGATTGGGGTTGTTGATGTAAGGCTTGGAGTAATTTGACGTTGTGGGGTGACAGAGATTGAGGATGACCATGGTATTTGCGGCATCATGACATCAGTTGGTGCATTCTCAATAACAGCATGATCTGCAGCAACGAAATCAGCATCTGTAAAAATGTGTCTATTAAATGGCCAGATGCCAGTGGCTCTGAAGCCATTCACAGCATATAAACCATTGGTGCACTGTAAATAAGCAGTTCCGAAAAGTCCTGCGATGTCGTAAGACGTGAGACGTTTATGTTCATGAATCATGTGTTGACGTATTGCCTTGCTGTAGTACGTCTTGAGTGGTCCCATGAATGTTTTATCTAGCGGATGTAGTTTGTGTGTTGTGTGAGGTGGTAAAGAAATTATTGAAACATGGTTTATCCTTGCTAATTCAATTACATCCACATTCCTGGTATGGGAATAATGCCCATCTAGAATGAGCAAAACTGGCAATTTTGCAGTAGGTTTTGTCTTAGCTAGAAAATGTTTGAACCACTGTGTGAACAAATTAGCCTGAACCCATCCTGAGGGATGGGCTCTACCAATTGCCCCTGATGGAGCACCTCTCATCAATTGGTCAGACATATTTTTCCAAGGAAAAATCATCATTGGAGGCAGGAAAGATCCCCCAGCACTCATAGCACAAATCACCGTTACCAATGATCCACGTTCTGCCGCAGTCAAAGCACCAATTTGTCGCTTCCCTTTCAATCCAATAACTTGTACCACTTTGGACTGCATAACAATGAGCCCAGTTTCCCCAACATTCCAGATCCTGTCAGCCTCGTATCTGTGCTTCTTGTACTCTGAATCGAGGAGGTCAAAAAATTGCAGAACCTTCTCTTTGGTAAAGCCTTCTGTGCAGGCATATGACATTCTTGTGGGCCTTCTTAAAGACAGCTGTTGTTTATGGCGATTCAAAAAATGATCTAGCCAAGACCTTCCTGCAAGCCCCTCTTTAAACTGGTTTGGAATCTTGTTACGCACAGCTAGCTGGAACGCCATTCTCCTCAAATCCATTCTTGTGAGTCCATAAAATATGGACTCCATTGACAATATGTATTCCACCAGCTGCTTTTCGATATCCTCAGGAAGAATTGGCTTTCTACCTAGTGTTTTTTTTACAAATTGTTCCGGACGAATATCTGCTTGCAAAGAGAGAGTTCGTAAAGTTGTTTTTGGCACCTCGTAAAATTTTGCAGCTTTTTTCAGCCCCATTTTCTTTTCCCTAACCATACTCACTGCCTCTGCCATTTTTTCCTGGCTCCATGTTTGTCTCTTATGGTTATTCTTGTTCAGTTGGGTTTTAGGCATCTGAAAATTAAAAATAAATAAATTTTTAAAAAAATCGGTTTGAAAAAACACTTTTATCTAATCAAAACAGTTTTTTTAACCAAACTAACTTCAGAATTTAGCTAGATTTAGGAGAAGGTGGGGCAGGATGAGGATGTTAAGGTTTGAAAAGTCATAAGATGGCAACCACTTTAATGAGAAAAATAGTCTGATTTTTTTTATTCTCAGCAATTACAACATTTGGTAATATATAAACTAAAACAAAACTTAATTTTTGAAAAACGTTTTTAAAAACAAGAAAATTTAATATTTTAAAATTATATGTAAATGCACCATCTTAGCCCACCTATGGGGTAAGATAGGAATATCATTTTTATAGACTATAGACTACAAGAAGGACAAATTAAAATGGTTAAACTGTCGCTTTCTTCAATATTGGCACAAGAACAGTGTGCCCATTTATCAAAATGGCTACATTTATTATTATTTTCTGAATAAATAAACATAAAAGTTTGAACTTACTTGTAGACTATTTACTTTACTAGATGATACTGTCACTTCACACATGCTCAGTTTCACTATTTGGTAAGTAGACAATATTTTTTTTTTTTT